TGCAAATTTGAAGAAAAAACAAAACAAACTCCATTGAGTTTGAGACAATGTAAACACAAACAACATGGTAAGGTGTTTCTACATTATAGTGATAAATAAGGATAGGAGCACTGAGGCCATGGCTATTGTCCAACTGTACTTAAATATTCATTGCAAACAACCTCCATGCTGGATTTAAGATGAAATCTAATTAAGCACTAAATGATAATACATATAAAAATCAAAGTGAATTCAGAGAGTTGAAACTTAAAATCAGGAATGATGAACCACACAAAAAGTCTTTAAAAAACATAAGGACTGAAGACTCAACAGAATAGGCAGTTTATAATAATAAAAATATAATAAAAAAATAATAAATATATATTAAATAATAAAAAATATATTAAACTCCTACAAGAGTTTGTTCATTAAACAACACATTATCCATATCCATAATGTAAATTAATAAAGGTAACAATCACCATACTAACAGGAAAATGTAATTCTTCTATTTTAGCCCATAATGGATCAAGTAGCCAAAAAGTTTACTAAATAAATAGATAAAGAGAGAAAATATAAATACAATGGCTATGTGTCTAAGTATCATTTATCAAATTTGGAACTCAGAAAACAAAAGCATCATCTTCAAATATTTGTGAATGAAAAAATTCTAGCTGTTTGAATATAACATTTTCAGTAAGTCATAGAAATAATAAGAAAGTTATAGAATAAATGAGAGCATATATGATCATCCTCAAAGATCCACCAAGACACCAAACATATAGAGTAATCTAAAATAAATATTTCTGTGTAATCCAGAAAGTCTATTATGTAGCTCCAAACTGTGTGGCATTTTGGGAAAGGCTACAGAGAGATGAACCAGTGGCTGGTGGCAAATGGAGATGTGGCGTCCAGGAATACTGATGAACACTCTACATAACACAGAACAGCTTCCCAGAAATAATAATTCCCCTGCCCATCCATGATAATGTTACAGTTGATGAACTCTCCCACACAGCAGCCAGAGCACACACTCTAAGTGAAAGCCAAAGGATGGACTGAAATCTGGTTGAGAAAAATATTTAATCAAAATATAAACAAAAAAAAAGAAGCAAAGGCACCAAAAATAAAAAGGGAAATTTGGGAGCAAGTAACAGGTAGCTAATCATATCAAAATCACAAAAATGTGAAAAGACCAACCATTCCAATCAAAAGGCAAATAAGATTTGAATGGATTAACTGTGTGACCTATGGGGCTGCTACAAGAAACACGTGGTAAATACAGAGAATTGGTAAGTACAGATGAAAAGATGTCCTATGGGGAAAATCAGGTATAAAAATGATTGTATAAAGACTGATCTTTAAGACATTGGGCATTGCCAAGGATAAAGAGGAACACTGAGAAGTTGGAGGGGTAGCTCAGCATTTAAGAGCACTTACCCCTCACGGTGAGGAACCAGGTTCAGTTCCCATCACCCACATCAGTTGGCTTACTACCTTTTGTAACTCTAGTTCCAAGAGATCTGGTGTCCTCTTCTGGCCTCCTGAGGCACCTATAGGCACATATGCACATAAACTCATTCTTTAAAAACAAAAATCTTATATTAAAAAAACAATTGTTTTAAAAATTAAATAAAAATTCATACAGACACACAAATTTAATTTTTGTTTCAGAAAATATTTTTTAAAGAGGAAAATTAAATAATGAAACAAAGCCTATCAGGAAATTATGCTTATCATTGTGTGTGTATATATATATTAGAACACACCAAAAAAAAACATGAAACAAAAATTTAACAAAACTAAAGAAAGAACTGTTGGACAATGATAAACTTTAACACCTCTTTTAGATGCTGTCATGATTTGTGTCCAAAATGTCCCAAAAGCTCATTTATTAAACATGTGGTCCCTGGATAGTTTAGGAGGCAGGGCTACTGGAGGAAGAGAACTAATGACTGCCTGACTTTAATCGCTGGCTTTCTCTCTTCTGGCTTCTGCCCCTCATGAACTACATCCCCCTATGCAGATGTTCAAGCATATAGGTCCAAGAGAACTTGGACTGAATCCTCTGGAGACATGAAGCAAAGTGAATCCTTGTGTCCTTTTAACTGGTTTTCTAAGGTATTTCATCACAGATGCAATAAAGTTGACTAATAGAGTAAATGTTGTAAAACTGTATAAAATTTAGCCATGTTGTAAATAGTTAAGTTAACATTATCAGGTACAGGATCCTAATTCATGTTTCAGTCAACATACACATAAAATTGGTACCATCAAGAAGATATATAGCAATTTAGTCCACAAAATAAATCTCATAGGTCTTAAATGAAGGACATGAGTTCTTTAAGCAGAACCTAAAATAGGCGGGTAAAAGAAATTGTAGAGAAAAGAGCAGAATCCAGTAAATATAATCAAGCAATAGGAAAGTACAGCTAAAGGGGACAAAAGGTGTGTCTTTCTAAAGCTAATTAATAGATGAGTAGGAAACACAGAGGACATAGACCATCCTTTGCAGGAAGTGAAAATATTACTAACACATTTTACTGACATCAAAGGGAAATGAAGAATACTATTAATAATTTTATACCTTCAAACCCAACAAGCCCAATAATTCTTGAAAAACACAGTTCCCTAAAATTAAAGTAAATCAAAGAAAATATAATTATGTAATATTATTGAAAGAAATGTATTTAAGAAACTATTCAACCTAGTAATGTCAATATTTCCCATGTTAATGCTATTAAACATCCAAGATAGATGTTACATCATTCATAAACGAACTCTTCTAGAAAATAAAGAATAGAATATTACTCAACTTAATGTATGAGGACAGCATATATTAAAGGTGTATATATTAAATGCTGACAACACCAAGGTAAGAATGATAGACTAATGTACCTCACACATGCCAGCACAAAGTTCAATAGAATAATTAAAACTGCACTGTGCTTTGGTAAGCATAATGAAATAAAAATTGTGGAAATACCCAGAGATGTGTGAGGAAAGTAATATACGATGCAGGTGCATTTTGAACCAGTAGGGACAGGTAGAATATTGAACAAACAATACAGAGAATTTTAGCTGTTTGACTATCTATTGCCCTACTCAAGCAAATTTCAGATGAAATAGCAACTTACCATGTTTAGAAATGAATTTATGAACTGAAAACATGGGAATGTACATTATAATTCTTTCACACATAATGCCTTCCTTGAAATGACAAATTTCAAAATCAGGAAAGAGGGGAAACTCTGACACTTAAGAAGCAAAGGTCATAAAATAACATAAAGTTTTAAGTGTGGTGACACACTAGGGCAAATGTATACAACATGCACAGCAAAGAGACGCTATTCTCTGACATGTAAGCAGCCTAACAAATCAAAAATGACAGATACTTACTCAGGGATTGGTATGTAAAAGATGATTGTTTTTAATGTAATTAAAAAATTATTTAAGAAAAATAATAAATAAATAAAAACAGAGGAAAAAGCATTTTATAGAAAAATTTACGTCCTCGTTCTTGTAATGTAAATTAAGCAAAAATATTTTCTTTAATCTAGCAGACTGGGAAAGTAAATGTTTTGTTATACATAATGTTAGTGAGGTTAGGTACAAAAGGATGCCCTCTTACATCAACATTTACACATTTTCTGGTGGGCATTGGCTATCTCTGTGAGTCAAGATCCACATGACTTTAACCTAATAAATTTCATTCCTGGAACTCTGGGTTACAGACATATTTGTACACTTATGCAAAGTCACACAGGCAAGAATATTTACAAAAAGTACTAGCTGCCCATCAGCTGTCGGTGAGAAGCTAGCTAAGTAGGTTTCAACAGTAACACTCTGAAGTAGTAGAGGCTGGAACTGATCTGCAAATGTGTCGATTTTAAAGGTGTTTTTACACAGAGACTGTTGTTTCATATCTCCTGAAAATTTCTTCAAAAGTAAGCAACAAATTGCTGGTGTCTATGTAAAGAATGTTAGACAGAGGGTCTGCAGGAATGGAAAACAGAGGTCTTAAAAATAAGTATTTTGTGACATTTAAATATAATGTGTATACATTGTTGAAAAACTTACTTGTTCTGAAAGATAATAAACTAAACAAATTAGCTACTTCTTGCATCCATGAAAAGAGCAGATGGAGTGTATCTCTTTGATATGGAAAGCTTGGTAAGAAAAACCACATGCTTGTTCAAGGTGCTTGAGTTCTCAGATCTGAGAATGTGCCAAGTCCAATGCCAGGTGCTTCATGGACAAAAACAACAACAAAAAGTGGTATCTACCTTCTGCAAGCTATGTGCCTTCTGCAGGCTCACAATTCTATGTGAAGAGCTCACCTTCTGCCTTTGATGAAGATGGTCGCCCTATGGCTAATGTATAAGAGGACCGTAGAATGCATGTCTCTCCAAGATTAAGGAAACAGCTTACCCAGGTCAGCACTTCTCATCTGCTGACCTCACCTAGCCCCTTGTTAATGGCCTGAGACTGTTGAGCTTCAGGGAGGAGTTTGGAAAATGTACAGAGCTCCTGACTATGGTGACATCTGTCCATCTGGTTTACAGAGCAACTTAAATCACCAACCATATCGCATGCCTCCAATCCTGCCTTACTCTTTGGGGCTATGCTGTTTGTTCCTACTGCTTGGAATACTGTTCTGCTTGTCTGGGTAACTCCTACCCAACAACAAATACTAGCTCAAGTGCTTCTCCAGGACAATCTCTAATTGTTTGTCCTATGAATCAAGTGGGAACTTCTCTGTATTCTCATAGCTTTCCCTACCTGAATAATTTAGCTATTTACTTAGGTTCTCATTGTTAATTACCAATTTGCTTAAAATCACATCTCTAGTGCTTAATATAGATTAGAAGCTAACTTGATACTTTCATGAGCTTAATGGTAGGACTTCCCTTCTTCTTTGCTTTTTCCAAATTATGTTATGTAATTGACCATGTAATTGATTTCCCTGCAAATATCTGCCTTGCTTCATAGCTTTTCCAAGTCCAAGGCATCATACTCACTTGTCCAGAGACATCCCCGGGAAGACGAACTTGCCCAGGCAGATGCGACAGATGGCACTCAGAGGAATCTGCTGCATCTGCACACAGCTAAGCATGATGAAGTCATATTTGCAGATCAAGAGAGTCTTGTCAGTGAGCAGCAGGATCTTCTCCTTCTCATTGTTCCAGTGATCAATCCTGTAGGCACAAATACAGAAGAAATGATTACATGGCCTCTCAAATAGAAACAACAGCATTCACTATACACAGAAAAGGGAACTGAGAAAACCCTACTGCCACCCTCTGTCCACCAATTTGCCCTGGGTATAAGAGATGAGGGAAGGATAAAGAATCCAGGGAAATAAATGTCTTATGACCACAGAGCTCAAGATAGATAACTTAGATAACCCCATTAGATAACCCCATTTGAGACAAACCATCATCTTAGGTTTCAACTGCATCATCCTGGTCTACAACCAATTTGTACTTCAAGTCCTCCTGGCTCTCCCAGAAATGGTCATGAAGCAGTTCTCCTCCAAGAATACCAGGAATGTCATTGTCCTAATTCAGGCTGCACCACAAAATCCTCTCACTGACAACTAGATTACACCTATCTCCAGGAACCATTTGCTAGTGAGATGAAACAGAGACTTAAATGAGACCACCATGATCTAAGCAACTGAGCAAACAGATGCTTGGTAAGTGCTCACTGATTAGATTCACTCCCAAAGTGAGAGACTTTCTAGGCACACAGGGAGTGCTTTGACTGAATTAAGAATTCAGCAAGAAAACAAGAAAAAAATACCACAGTGCTTTCTGGTTAAGAGTGAGCGGTCATATTGTGCACTTTTTGTCAGTATAGATACTTCAGGATGCAAGACTTTATGACTTACGGGGCTGGAGAGATGGCTCAGCAGTGAAAACCACTGGGTTTGATTCTCAGTGGCCTGTGGTGTTTCACAACCATCTGTGATTCCAATTCTAGGAAATCTGCCACCCTCTTCTGGCCTCTATGGGAACCAGGCATATACATGGTACACATACATGCATGCTGGCAAAATATGCACGCATATAAAAGTAAATTAATTTTAAAGAGACTTTATGACTTACTAGAATTTAGTGTGTGCTTTTTAGAAAAAGGCTGACATGTTTGTTTTGTGATCAGTTCATGTCTGAGTTGTGACCACATGTAATCAGCCTAGTGGTTACGTGTTTTGGACAGACATTTTGCCCCCAACTATTTCCTGAGCAGTAGAGCCATGGTGCAGTTCTTAAACTGTGAATAGAATGACATTGCCTCCTTTACCTTATTGCACAGTTTCCCTGTAGCTTAGAGTCACAGTCACATCCAAGGCTCCTAAGACAAATTACCCATCCATATACTGCCAGGCCTTTGCCCAGAGTCATCTTACAGCAGAAACACTCAATGTCCTAGTCATGGTTCAAATTCATGGGTTTCTTAAGCTACTTTGTAAGCCTGTCACCTTGTTAGGTTGTCCAGAAGCAGCTTAACCCTTTCTCTTCCCAAATACAGCAACACAATTTACTTTTAATCTTAAATTTACTAAAAACATATTACAAATCAATTGTATTTTATTGCATGGTTATAATTACATGTAATTTGATAATAATTACATAAATATATTTGACAGTGAAAGTATAAAACCCAATGTAAAGCTCTAGGAATTCCATTCTGAATAGCAATTTCAATTGTACAGAAGTTCATCAAGACTAATTTCATTATATGATTTCTTTAATCTACTTAATTTCTAGAAGGAATGATGTACAAAAGTGTTTAGCACTGGGTACCATAAGGACATTGGCCACACAGAATAAATACTGCTTACAGAAAGTGGTATGGTTCAAGCAAGTATGGGCCATCAACCCTAATTATATGAAAATATAAGAGGAAATATGTATGTGCTTATGAAATAAAAATGCACATGTCTGAGCAAATAAATGGATGTCAATGATTTTGGGTCCTTTGGAGGAAATGACTATGAGAATGGAAAGATGAATTTCTATCACTTAGTAATCTTGTACGGCTAGAGTTATAACTTTAGGTTAAATAACTTGTCTTTGAAAGAACACAATAGTTACCTCACTGTTCTGAGGAAGGATTATGGGAAATGACTTCACAAGGGTTAACTTCTCAGTGATTACTACTGGTGTGGACTAGTTCACTAAGGGACTTCGGGTAACTGGATATATGCCATCTTCTTTGTGGTATGAAGATAGGTAAGAGGAAATAAAGTCACATTCATGGGAGGAGGAATTGGGAAAGCATGAATGAGGAAACCTAGGAGGAATGGGCATAGAAGCTGAGCATTGACTGGGAGCCCAGTGCACAACAGCCACTGTGCATTCTATCTCTTGGTGTTCCATCTGCCCACAGCCCCCAAAGGAGGCTAGAGCTACAGTCATTCTGCTACAAAGTTAAATCACAGTTACAGTATGAAAGAAACGGCCTGGAATCCAAGCGGTGTTACCCGGTCCTGGTTCAGTGAGTCTCACCCACTCAACATTCAATTCCTTCTCTCCTGCGAGAGAGATCTTGATAGTCGGCTTGACAGGTTCCATCTTAGGAAAATGAAAAGATTGAGGTGTCCTATCATCTTTCTACATAAACATCTCTAAATACTACTTTGCAGTGTGGCATACAAGACTGCCCAATGAAACAGACTTGTTTTAAGTCTGAGAAAAAACCTGCAACTTTTGGTTCAATAGTTCTACTGAAAATCTCAGCACTTCATAATGAGATGTATTTTAAAGGTAAAGGATTCCAGGAAAAAGGAGGATTCTTTTTAGGAACACAGAGTGCTCTGCTCTGACACGAACTCTGCAAAATTTACATGTCAGAATGTCTGAATTCAAGCAAACACTCGGGCCTATAAATAGCTCAGGCCACCATCTCCAGCTCCTAGGTGGTGGTGTTTCTTTGAACTTCAGTCATATCTTCAGTTCTTCAAGAACTTGTGCAAACACTGAACCACATAGCCCTGAAATGAATGCCCTTGAAGTTTAGAGGGGCAATAATAACAGACACAAGAAAAGGAATACCAGCTGCACAGAACTGCAGAGCTCAGGGAGATTATTCAGGCCTGGGACATCAACACTCTCCTTTATTGCCCACAATAACCCTTTAGAGTGAGTGCAATCATGCCTGTCTTAAAGATGCAGAAATTGGGCATGTTACACATAACAGGGCCATATGTACAAAGGCCTGAAACAAATATTAAGACATCCAATCTAGACATAGTTTTTGCTCTCTCCCTAGTGACACCCCCAAACAAAGAAACCTTAGCATGTATGCAAATGTGGTCAAATACCTCTGTGAGGAGCCCTTGTGACCCTACACGCCACTGCAGCGGTTGCTCTCTCTACCAAACTTCCCCGACACACATGATTCCCAGCCTGGCCCGCTTGCACTGCAGGCACCTTGCCTTGGGAGAGAACTTTCTATCCATTTCTGCAGCCTACATTCACTGGAGTCCCTCTTCACGTGTAGCATTCCACCTCCTGTGCTAAGCACTAACCGTTATATATGTTTTGTATGCATACATTTATACATATATATGTATTTACACATGTAAACATATATGCATATACACACATATATAAAGAGAATATGCTTTGTGTGGCATGGGCAGATATAGTATACAGAGATATAGAGATATAAATAGTGCATATATAACTGCACATACACTTGTGTATATATGTGCATATGAATATATAAAGATAGATGATAGATACATTCATACATACGTACTGCATGTATATGAGGATATGAGGCATGGGCACATACACATATATGTACTTGCATGTGGTGATCAGAAGTCAAAGTCAGGGGTTCCCCACTGATTCTCCAACTTACTTTTGAGACAGAGACTCTCACTGAAACTATTGCCCTCAGATTGGCTAGACTGACTGGCCACAAGCTCGGGGTTCTTCTGTCTCTCCCTCCCTAGTGCTGAGAATGTAGATATTTGCAGCCATAACCAGTTTTTTACATGGTTTCCGGGGGTACAGACACAGGTCCTCATGCATGCATAACGAACATTTTAATGACAGTTGCCTACCTAGCCAACAAAATAATTTCTTTCAAAACTAGAAAATATTTGTGTTTCTCTGATTGATAAGGCTGCTAAACAGTTTCTAAAAGATATTTCTTAGCCATTTTTATTTCCTTTGAGAGCTTTCTGTGCAGATTTTTTTAAGGACTTTGTATGCTCTGGGTATTCCCCTCTTTAGAAGTATGGCTCACAAGGCCCACTCCATGGACCACTTCTTCATAGAACTGATGGTTTCCTTTGCAGTGCAGAGGCTTTTGTTTTAGAATTCCCCATTTCTGAATTTGGGGGACTAATGCCTGAGCATGCACGGTCCTAGTTAGAGAGTTCCTGTCACCCCAGTCAGGTGGCTAAGATTAGAAAAAGAATGCTGACAAGTTGCAAACGGGTGCAGCTACTATGGAAATCAGTGTGAAGACTTCTCCAGAAGCTAAAGCAGATCATCATATAAGCCAGCTACAGCACTCCTTGGCATATTCCCAAAGGACTCAGTATCCTACTCCACAGACACTTGCTTGGCCATGTTCATTGCAGCTGCATTCACAATAGCTAGGAAATGGAAGCAGCCTAGATGCCCATCAGCTAATGAATGGCTAATGAAAATGTGGTACATGTACATGAGGGGATTCTATTTAGCTATAAAAAAGTAAAATTCCAGGTAAGCAGATGGAATTAGAAAACATACCGAGTGAGGTAGCCCACGCACATCCAGAAAGATGAACACTACATATTCGCTGTTCTTTGTGAAACCTGGCTCTGAATCTTTGGGTCTGAGCATATAACCTGGAGCACCATGGAATCCAGGAGCGAGAAAAGGGACCACTGGGGTAGGGAGCAATAGAGGGGAGCAGGGAGCATCAGGACACAAGTGGTCCAAGGGGTGGGGATGAAAAAAACTACTGGAGGTCTTAACTGGGGAAAGGGAGGGAGGGAGGCCCACACCGAGGAAGAGCAACAGTGTGACACATTGAGGACTAGGGCGACAGTTTCATAACAATGACAGAAATGCTACTCCCATGAGCTCTCAACAACACACGGGACCTGCAAGGACCACACCGGTTGAGAGGCCAATAGGAAGGAGGGAATTGAACATGGCTCCAGCCACACAATGGCTGCTGAAGGAAGGAG